CCCCAAAACCCCAAAACCCCAAAACCCCAAAACCCCATCAATTAATTTTCGTAAATTATACATAAATTGGAAATTCACTTGAAATAAAATTTATCGCTGTATTTGTTTGAAAACATATATATTTTTATTATCTATAAATGAAGAAAACTTTGTCTAAGAGTAACAGCACCCGAGTCCTTGGGCCCTCTGCTCATTAATTATCTGACTTCTAGAATTAGGGATCTGTTAAGTTACTCAAACCCCAAGCTAATAAAAAGATTATAGTAAGTCTACTTATTTCTTATACAGTTAACAATTATGATTAGCAGGTTTCTTCTACAAAGCCATAAAATGATGAAAAAATTTAAGTGGGAAATAAGCAGATAATAGTGCGCAAGAAATCTATAATAGTTGCAGCAGTGAATAATAATGTAGTACCAGCATTAAATAACCTTCATAAGCCAGCCCAAAAGACTATTATGTTGAATCTCGACTCATATACAAAGTAGCAACTATTTAATGCCTCAGTGTAGTAGAGTCTCAATCAGGGAAGAGGAGACAGCAAACATTCGTATAAGTAGGGTCCTGAGCCATCACTTATCTAAAATAGAAAGCAATCCAAAAAAGGTAATACTAGGAATAGAGAATTAGTTAGCAAGTTCAAGCAGAGCTATCAAGCAGATTCATCCTAAACATTCAATACTCAGAGATCTGGGATGGATAATGAAGCCACCCGAGCAGACATATTCTCAATGGGTGATAGCTTTAGACAAATTGTCTAAACTCCTAAAAAGATTTCCTAATTCACCATAAAAATAGATGATTTAACACAATAGTCTGGAAAAACTGTGCCTAATTCCTCAGATACAAATCAAGCTTCAACTTAGCACACTTAACAGAGTAGCTAAAAGACTACTATACAAAGCAATTAGAGAATAAAAGCGCCTCAATTCAGCTCAAGATCGAATTCAGTTGGATCAAAGATGGAAATTAAAAAATCAAAAAAGAATAAAAAAGACAGTCTTGTTGGTTCAAGTTACTACTAGGATCATTAATGAGTGTCAGACTTCGAAGAGCATCTTAAAGATGCTCAAATTAATCACAATAATACAAGGCCACTTATGCAAAATGATTTGACTGATGAAACTAGCTCATTGCTCTTTTCATCATATTCGCCTTCAAAGCCATTTCCTCTAAACTTGAAGGTCAGTCCTTAAAGATCTAAATCTAGATCCATTGATAATCAAAAGCGGCAGTCATTATTTTCTTCTAGCAAGTAATCTTTGAGACTTAAACCAGAATTCAAGATTAGTCCAATGAAGAAATCGCCACTAGAGGACACTTTCAAAGTAGTTAAAAACTACTCATCCCTTAGAAGAAAAAATTTCTAAAATCTTTCTGAGATAGAGGAGGATACCCTAGATGATGGCAAAATCATAAGTATCTCTAATGGAAGGCCAAGTCTTATGGATGAAAATGGCAGAGTTGTAATGCAATAATAAATTGGACCAGAAATTTAGCTTCTTGAAGAAAATATGATACAAATAAATTCACCTGAGTAAAAAGAGCATCAAAAGCTAATTTAAGAGTACAAAGGCCATAAGAAACGTCGCTATATAAGATAGATAAAGATTGAGATTTAGATGCTTAGTAATAGTTAAAATCAGCCTGTCATTAGTGAAAGTTAAGAAGAATTAGAGCAAGAAGAGGGCGAGGAATTGCACACATTTTAGAAACAAGAGTCTGAGGAGTAGTCAATAGAACAGCAGACACCTTAATTCCAAAAGTATATATCAGTTGTTTAGCATATAAATCTGAAATAGCAAAGTGAGAATGAGCAGACCTAGGGGGAGTAAGAAATAGTAGAGGATTTTAGCATGATTATTAAAAAAAATGACCCTCTGAGAAGGTCAAGTGCAAAGTCATTTGAAATGAAAAATGATAGATTTGATATTATAAGGAGATCATTTAGAAGAGACTCAGATGAAGAGGATTATTTACTGGCATTGTAACTTGAGTGTTAAAAATCTAGAATTCTTAGGAAAAAGCTATAAGCACTAGTAATGAAGAGTTACTTCAAATCCTAGATTAAGAGGAATATCAAGTTTTATAGGAAAATGTTTCCTTAGCCTACAATGAAAAGAATGAAGCGACTGTATAGAGTATTGAAATCTAACTTAAAGGCTTATCACCTTGGCTGGAAGCAGAGGAAAATCATGCAAAATAGATTTGTTTAGGCATCCATGTAAAAGGTCAGGGATAGCTAGTTACTCATTAAAAATATAAAGTCAGGGATATGTTAAGGTGATGCAGAATTGTTGTAAGTGCAGATGCCACTGTAGAAAAAGCTATTCAAAGATTTATTGAATACATTTATGGAATACCCAGCTGAGTTTTGGCTTCCCCGTAGGAATAAGAAAATCCCTAAAAAGTTTAAGTGTTGTTGCATCAGAGACAGAACACCAACCTATGAAAAGCAGATCACCAATATTAGACAAACCATTTAGACTGTGGAGATTAGTAATCCAATTGATTCACTCAGACTGCGGAGAAACAGAGAGCAGATTCACAAACATTTCTCCTAGTACTAAGAGGGTGAAAACCAGCAATCTATGATACTTAACAGAGATCGGAAGATTATCAGATTTGGTTCATCAGACAGATTACTGAACAGAGATCGAGAAATATCTCCTATAATTATCAGCAATGTAAATATTAGAGTATTAATATGACTATTTAGAACAACAGAAGAGGCATCCAGTCTAAGACTAGTGATGATTAGAATAGATTGCAAAGGTTCATCAATAACCCTTCATGATTGATTGAGAGACTAAAAGTGGTGTAAATAGATAGGTCTAATAATGAAGATGTTGGTGATTACAAATATATGTGCCAAAGTTTAATTTCATAATAAAGCTAATTTCTTTAATTAAGGGAAAGTTATTTTAATATTAATCATTTACTATATTATAATTATTAAAAACATAAATAATGGCTAGCAAATTTTTACTTTTCACAATGGGAGCTCTACCCTTAGCTCAGTTGTAAAGACAGCAGTTTTCATAGAATAATGAGATGGCAGAGGAGGGTAATACTGAAAGACAAGCAATATGCATTCTTAACTCTGAAAATGGACAAACTGGAAAGGGAATCGTTCACTTTATCCAATCATCATTGGTTGCTAGAACTCAGATCCAAGGACAATTCTCAGGCCTTAACCCAAATCAAAGACATGGCTTCCATATCCATCAGTACGGTAACTTAAGCCAAGGCTGTGTGACTGCTGGCCCTCACTATAACCCTTTGAATCAAGTTCATGGTGGTCCAGATAGCGCTATCAGACATGTAGGTGATCTTGGCAACGTTTAGGCTGATGAAAGTGGAAATGCCAAAGTTGATTTCATAGATCATCAAGTAACTCTCTACGGACCCCACTCTGTCGTAGGCAGAGCTTGCGTTCTCCACAGAGATACTGATGACCTTGGAACTTCAGATAACGAAGAGTCAAAGAAGACAGGAAACGCTGGCCCTAGAATCGCCTGTGGTATTATTGGATTAAGCAAAGAGTGATAAAGATATTTTCAGAGTGATGCCATCATCATCGCATCCATATCTTATTTTATTGCAGCTTAATTTGATTCATTATTCTCTCCAAATAAATTGATCATGGGGTTTTGGGGTTTTGGGGTTTTGGGGTTTTGGGGTTTTGGGG